TGCTTTTAAATTTGTGCGATCTTGATATTGCTGATAGGGCTCACCATTGGACTTGATTGCTCCAAACGACACGACTCTGCCATCGCTGAGCAACGCATCGTATTTTTTGCCCTTGCGCTTGGAAACGCGGAACTTATATCCTAACTCTTGCATAGTTTATATTACAGATGTATTATCCGAGCTGCTTGAATAGTTTGTAGAAATCGTCTTCTTTTCCATTCTGCAAGTAGTAGAGCCAAAGCACGCAATACTGTCCACAGTGCCCGAATCGGGGGTCTTGGATATCAATTTCGCGATAAGAATAGTCTTTGGGAATAACGCGTGGTCTTGGAAGGCCTAGAGGATCGAAGTAGCGCTTGTCTTTGTTTGAGACTACGAGCCAGTGGCTCCCTCCGATAATTGGATTACTCATATTGATAATACAGTAGTCTTTGCTTCTATCAAGGTTTTGCTTGAAGTCGATTTGATCTACCTTTACCCCAAGAAAATTAGCGAGTTTCATTAGTTGATCATCTGTTGTTCGAGATAATTTGATAATTGACTTTGCGCTCATCTCGGTTTCGTAGATACCTTGCAATTTTTGATTGCTATTTTTTTTTTTGCTGGCGATCTATATCTTGACCAATATAAGCTATCTCATACTATACAATGTCCACCGCAAGCGATATTTCTGTTTTCGAGCACTCCGTCGAACCAGCGAGAACTTATCAGTAGTACCTGCTTGAAAAACACTACTCCGATCCTCATCCATGGCATGCCGAACTAATCGGCACGTTTCAGATATTTTACTGGTCCAGGACGCTCACTTCCTGAGACGTGATAACCAGCGGCTTCGATTGAGATGTAGAGCTCCAGATGAATATCTTATTATTTCGTGTAGCGTACAAATCCAGTTGTCAGGTGAAGCGCAGCCATCAGCAAGTGGAGAATCACAGCCGTTATGTAGAGTTCTGTTTATTCGTAGTGGTCGATCTGCCTTAACGAAGTGTTGGCGAGCTACATCGGTGATTTCTACTACATGTATTGTGTTCATTGAACATAATGCAAAGCATTTGCTCGCGACAACAGCTGTCGTCGAAAGCACCACTAAAATAATACTAAAAACTGAATATACTGACATTTGTATGCGTCAAGTTGAAGTGTTGCGCCATGCAGTCTCCGAATCGAAATGGTCAACACATATGGCAAACGCTGGGCAAATGGTCATCTGGAAGTCTGCACCTTCGAACGAAGCCGATTCGCACGCCTCCTGCTTCTGCCGATGAAGTACTGCTTCGATACCTCCGATGGTCTTCTCTTTCCAACGGATCGGCTCATATCCAAATCTTCTCTCTCGAGTGTACATTAAACAACCCTCCTCAAGGACAAGGCAACCAAGAACAAGAACAGCATTCATTCCAAGCATCGCCATGTTCAATTACAACAAGATCTCCGCTCTTTGCCTCGCCGTCGTAACCTTCTCCGGTGGCGCGCACGCCAAGGAAGAGGCTGCCCAGACATTTGGGCTACTTGGAGCTGGACTGTACGGCGGTGCAGGTGCAGGTGTTGGTGCCGGTCTGTACGGTAACCGTGCTGGGTGGTATGGACCGGGCGCTGGGGTGGGTGTTGGTGCTGGAGCTGGTGTTGGTGGTGTGGGCGCTGGTGTGGGGGTGGGTGGCGTTGGTGTTGGCGTCGGTGGCGTCGGTGGCGATGGCTACAACGGCTACAACGGCGTGGGTGTGGGCAATGCAGGAGTTGGTGGTGGTGCGGCCGCCAATGCAAACGCTGGTGCCACAGCGAGTGCGAACGCTAATGCGAATGCGAATGCTGGCGCAATGTCCCAGTACCGCAGGCTGCGCTCTGAGTAGATTTCATCCTCGGTCGTCGTCGTATTCCTGTTCATACCTAGCTGTTCGCCAAGTCTGACGATGTAGTTGTTACCTTTTTTGTCATGAAATCGTGTCGTTCATTCAATGTTAAACTCCCGTGTACGACTGTTTATTCACTGCTTGTAACGATCTTCCTCCGCGTAATACTCCGTAAAGCCCACGACATCTTTCACGTGTGCAAAGTCGCACAGCAGTTTGTCCAGCTCAGTGCTCGGAGTCGCGTTATTCCCCGTCTCTTCCTTCTTCTCTCCACCGGTTTGACACTTGAGCAGTCTCAGCGCTTCCTCCATCGCCTTGATACTGGCGCTTAGCAGTGTAATCGGATACGCTGCCAGTTTGTAGCCCATGTTGCCAAGCTGTTCGGGCAACAGCACCGGTGTGAGGCCGTTTTCCACCATATTGGCCATTTTAGGGCCTGGTACTTCTCTACAGTACGTCTCCATCTCTTCTACAGACTGTGGCGCTTCAAGGAACGTGATGTCCGCTCCGAGTCTGGCAAATTCTTTGCAGCGAGCAATGGCCTCGTCCAATGAGTGGGTTCCTCTGGCGTCCGTCCTCGCCATGATGACAATGTCGAACTGTCCCTCTCTACGGGCGTCCACAGCCGCACGTACCCGTGCAAAAGCCTCTTCTCGAGAGACAACGGCTTTGCCGGCCGTGTGTCCGCATCGCTTGGGGGAGACTTGGTCTTCCAGCATGATGCCGGCCATACCCGCCTGTGCATACGCACGGACGGTTCGTTTAACGTTCATGGCGTTGCCGTAGCCCGTGTCACCGTCGCCAATGCACGGAACATTGCGCAAAGACTCGCATACAGTTGCAGCGGTGCGAGCCATCTCGCCAAAGGACAAAAGTTGCGTGTCTGGCAGTCCGTGCACGGCGGAGACGCCAAAGCCCGTCATAAAGGCCAC